ACTGTCTGCTTTCGGGTTTCGTTATCAGCCGCCATCGATGATCATATACTTTTGATTACTCCTACATGTACTAGGCGGCTCCCTTTCCCCCACACCCTCTCTCAACCCCGAAGAGCCGCAAAGAATTCCCCCTCCGGTGGCACTAGATCTTGGTTCTCACATTTTGGCCTTCGATATTATTCTTGGCGGTCATCATCTTTTATACCCACCCTCATCGTTTTGGTTCACATCCGTCCACGTATGAGATTGAACATTCCCATGTTAACAGGAGCATGTAAAGAAGTTGATGCAAACCAAGCCTCCCATCCAGAGATCGGTTAATTGGTACTAGACTTGTCTGGAAGGATAAAAGCATGACTGGTACGCTCGCAAATCATTGGGGCCATTGGCCAAATCGCATTTGATTGCCACTACGAATGTAAGCGTAAAGAAATGTAAGTAGAATGCGTGATGCCCAAGAAGTGATTGATCAACGGCAAATGCTTCACCCTTATTAATGAGCTAAAAAATTGGAAGGTTTGAGTAAAGCTACTGACTGGTAATTATTGAAAACGTAACTGCATTGTGGTCCTTTTTTTCATCAAGCTATATCGATCTGTAGAAAGTCCTCCTTCGGAATCGCCAAATTGTCTATGTCTAACTTGGTAGCAGAGTCAACCCTGCGTTGCGCAGTTCTCAACGGCCACGTTGCGCAGTTTCGCCCGATTAGACACAGGGTGAAAATCGTGTCGAGGAAATAACCGCCTCTTTACGACCCCCCTCCAAAACATGGACTCTGATACGACCCCTTTTTGTCCTCTGCACATCCGGTTTCATATCAAAAAATGCTAGTTTCAGATGTGCGAGAGGGACGCAGCGCCGCTGCCACGCAAATGCGGCTTGATCCAAATGCTAGATTCAATTCTGCTCAGATTAGGTTCTCCTTCCTTTAAAAGACATTTAACCTTTGCCACATTGGCCGGAAAGTAGAACATTGAAGGAGGTACTGCCCCTACACAGTTGAACAGTCTCGCGCTCCAGTATAGCGGCGCTAACTACCCGCGATCGCGTCGCGCGCTGTGCCTAGAGCGCGCTAGTTGGAAAAATCGTCAAATGTACCCCCTATTTAAAGGACTATAACTTTCTTCATTGATAACCATTTCAAAAGTGAAGGCAGCTTTTGAATGCACAAGACTTCTAGTTTCTAAATTGTGCTGAGCGTTTTTCTAAGCACGCCTATTCTCGAGTGGGAGACGTCGAGAAATTGTCGAGGAAATTGAAATTTACATGCGAGTTCCCACTCTTTGGAAGACAGTAGCTGTCTTCATTGGCAATGCTTTGAAAATCGGAGGAAAGCGTTGTAAAGTAGAAGATTTACGCTTTCTGATAGGTGCTCCAGTTGTTTCGAACGCTTTCTAGTTCGCGAGAAATCTGCGTCGAGGAAATGTCAAGGAAATTTTCGAAGCCACTCGAAAACTCTATTACTCCCTTGCCGTAGTAGGGAACTTCTTTGAACACCTTCAAAATACTTCTGTACACGTCAGTTCGATGGAGTAAATTGAAAATGATGCACTTGGCGCATCCATTCCGTTCTTGTATGCGCCATGCAGTGACCCCACTCGGAGTCATTGGGAAGGTGTTTTGTCCTAGTGACGACTTGCTTAATCACACCAAATTTCCAGTATTAACTAATTAGAATAACTTTTGTGGTCATAGTGATGTGATCACACTCCTTTATTCAAATCGCTTCCTTTCCAACCCGTTCTGATGAATGACAGCTTGCGGTGGCAGGATCTGATAATGCCAAGAAGGCTGCGAATCTGCCTGTTTTGAACTTTCTACCAAGATGCTGTTCCTCCACTAAGTTCTCGAAGCATGTGCATCATTCTAGAGTAGATACTCGCTGCCCTTTCCCTACGATTCTTTTGCAGGACGCGTTGCCTTCCTATGCCATACTGATCACTACGAACCAAACCAACAACCACTTGTAAGATGTTATTTGCATTAGGCTAAGTACAACACTTGTGAAACTAATGATGACAGCAAATAAGTGGCAGCAGCACCGTTGTGTCCGTTGATGAACCTTTTGATTACGACCCCCTCCCAACTCTCATCGGAGCAAATACGACCCCCTGTCGAGGATTTCCTCGACCGTTATTCACCCTGATTAGACACGTTCTCTCGCGCGAACATTCACACTCGCATGCTCGAGCCGTCTGTGTCTCCGCCCATACAGCGTGCGTTGAGGATCTCTCAACGTGCCGTTGCGAACTGCGCAACGCAGGGTTGACTCTGCTTGGTAGGCCTCAGTGAACGACGCTTGTTGTTCGTGAAGGAACGCGAAATGCTAAGTCTCAAAGCCCGTTCTCTTGCCATCTTTAATTTCATTTGGAAAATCCAAAAACATGTAAAGCTGAGGGCAAATTCCGTGTGGGGTTTAATTTTGAAAGGGGATGTGGGAGGCAACCCGACAGCAAAGGGAAAGGTAAAAGTAGCCGACGGAAGCTCAAGGGAAAGCGCCTTCTGGGGTTCCTTTAGGAATTGCACGAGCATGTGAGGATGAAACACTAGACTGTTTGCTTTTATTATAAATGACGTTAAGAACTTAATTTTGTCTTCCTCTCAGGCTGCTGTTCTGCAAGTAAACTCTAATCGCTGACCATTACCCACTCAGGACCTGTTCGTTCATTTCCATCACGGCTTTTATATTATACTTGCTGACTCTATCGTCTTTCCATACAAGCTCCCGACAAATCATTAGTCCCTTTGTTCTCTCAACATTTTTTGTTTACTGAGAGTTTTTCTTTCAGTTTTGTTAGCTAGGGTGTAAGTACAGCTTATTCCTCCTCCCCCACCTCTTGGCTACATTGTGGTGGGATAGATGTATGACTCGAGTTCATGCGAAATTTAATTTATGGAGTAGTTTAGAGTATTTTATTCAGATAGTATTTTGAATATTATTACATGATATCACGAGAAAGCTGAGTTGTAAGCAAAACCCTTGGTGACAAGCAAGATCCTAAACTGCACCTCTCGCTTACTTGGCAAGTGTGTTACCAGCACAGCAATGAAGCCCCACATTACCTTAAAGGCACGCTACGCGATTAGGCGCGCTCACCTGTTCCATCCAGGGGGTAGTAGGCAGGCGGACAAGTGTTGATGTCGCGCCCCTTTTGCCGCTTGAAAGTGCGCGACAAAGGCGCAAGGAGCTCGTCCGACCCGCAACTCACACCTTCGTCCGCAAGCCCCACCCTCCGCTGTCGGTTGCCACGTGGCGCTGCTTGAAAAGCGCGGGCGCATTTGAGGCAGCGGTCCCATTGCGACCCAATGTCATTGGCACTGGAGCAACTAGAGTTAGGTTCGTGAAACTCGTCCAACGCGCCTCTTCTCTATCCCAAGGTGGAATGCGGCTGAAATAGGGGAGGTCTCTGTGCGGGGCGTAATCGGTGGTTTCGTTTGCTTTCCTTCTCTTTTACAGACCACCTCCCACCTATAGCTTCATGAGTGGAGAATTTTCTACGAACGCTGAAACTAAGGCCTTAACCCTTTAACAGGGTCGGATGTGGTACGATGTCGAGAATGGGCGGTCAAAGAAGTTAAAATATGCCAGAGAGTACGTCGTTTGAGAGAGCACGCTGATCTCACTACAATACTATAGCACTCTGATTAGCCACCTTCGCGGTGGTGAGAGCGTTGGAATTGGTCGTGGTGCCGCTCGTAAAGGATTAGCGCCTAACCGCGCAATTTGTTGCGACGAAGTTGGAGTGATCTAGGTAGTTACAGACCTTGCCATTTCCCTAGTGGGTCAGGCCAATCTTGGTGTTTGCCTTTAACTCGGGTGTTAATGGCATACACACCATGAGTTTACTACATCATATATTATTAAAACCGCGCGATGATTCGATTTTTCAAGGCCAAAGCATGAGCTTAGGTACCAACTCCTTTGGCTGGGTAGAATAAACTTATCCTCCAACACCGCATACGTCTCGTTCCTCCTGCGCTAAATTGTGCAATAAGGACGGTAGATACTTGGAAATTCCCCTTCATCCGCCACCATTTTTTTCTCGTCACCGTGCTAATGTGTGGGCTCTCTCATCCACCGTGCTCACTCGCCTATCCTCTCCCCTCCGCGCTTAGTCTGCCATTGCTTCAGGCTACCGCAAAAGGGATCAAGCCCTTGAGTTTGGCGCTTACGAACGGATTCATTTCCTTTTTTTCTTCACTGCCGGCCCACATAGTATGAATGGCTTCACTTCCGTGTAAGATCACACTGGTTTGGTCGTGAGGAGTGCATTTGAACGCATCGCTTTGGCATCACTTGGGAGCCGCAAACCTGTTTTTCTGTTTTACAATGTCTCACACACCTCTGGGATTTACTGCTCTGAAAAACCACATGTACGAGCCGGTAATGCTCCATTAAAGCCGAGATTCAAGGAAGCGACAGGAATCTCTCAAATTTTCAGAATTCCTTATCAGTACACACGAAAATTGCGAAATATTCTTGAACGTTTTCAGGTGCCTTAGTCAGAAGGCATTTCGTTCGCGTCGAATCGGTACCGAAGGCCAAGTGATCTCACGACTTCTCACTGACTACGATCCAGCCACTCGCCCACCCGTCCGAGGTTGTCATCCAGCCCTAGAATTCATTGTCTGCTTCAGAGGGAGTAAGGCTTCCAAACACCAATCCCCTTTTTTGTTTAACTCCTAACCCCTGATGTTGGCATGTTTCACACTGATGCTACTTTTGTGTACAACGTTCGGGGTGCTCATAGAAGTCAAACCATAAGCTCGACCTAGAAAACATAGCATGTAGCCTATTGTAGCCATTAGTGCTCTATCTATCATGAGATTCTCCCTTCTCAATGCTTTTCTCACTGCAGATAACGCCGATCATTCTTCGATTCTGGTGATCACCAACATTTTTATCAACCGAGTGAACTGGCACGAGAGTCGGGCGGTGAGTTGAAGCTTTTTACTTTTAGAGTTTCCCGTGGAAAGATGAGACGCAAAGGAGGTTGTTCCATTCTCTCGAGCATCGAATTCTTTTCTATGACGTGTGTATAAATAGCTCCGGTGATATCTAACGGCCGTGGGTGTAATATTCGGGTGTTCGCTCAATTGACTGATTATCAATTAATGGGGCTGACGCAGGAAGGAATCATATATTCACTGCATGAAAAATTTCTCTTCAGGAAGTTGATCTGTACTTGCGACAGCAGTGGGAAGATGGACGACTTCAATATGAGGTCGACCCGCGGGAGGAGATTGATCAGGTATGGCGAATTTTCTACGCTAATCATCCATTTTGAGGTTTCGCCACTTTCTCCATGTATTGCCTTTCTTTCATTATTGGAAGTCCTTTAAGCCTTTATCTTATTTTTCACCAGTGGAGTCTTGAAACTTCCTTTGTGGGGTGAGGTAGTGAAAATCAGCTGTAACATCGCGCTCGTGGTCATAAAATCCAAATCCGCCAAGGCTATCTGAGATTTTGATCCATTTTAGGTTGGTTTAGGTCTGCGATTCATGAAGAAGTATGGGAATGGATGTGCATTGGTTGGTCTGAGCAATGGATTACAGGGGAGGATTGCGAAAGTAGGATTCTAGAGCGTAATGGATTGAGTGGGAGGTGTCGGAACGAGGGCGATCAACCTCTAGTGCTTCGTAGTTTTCCTACTGTTTTTTATTCCAAAGTTTGAAGCTATCATAGAATACCATTCTTACAAACTTCATTGATTTTCTGCAGTTCACTGTTCGTCACTCTTACACTTCTAATATTAATGAAGATGCACATTGGAATATGCATTACCGTAAGCGAGAAACCCTTTTTGCCAATTCCATTCATCTCATTCTGAGAGACCTTTTTATGTGGCTCATATAAGCATGTGGTGGGTAGGTTAAGAGCAGCTGCAATTTTATTACCAGATATCGTTTTTGGTATCCATTTATAAAAATCGATACAACGGATGGGCGCTTAGGGGAGAAACGTCTCAGGGAAGATGTTTTCATCGTGCGAAATGTTGGATGGGTCAGCATCATACAGAAAGTGATCTTCGCTGTGGGCAATTTTTTTGCTACATAATCCGCTGCAACGAGATGGGCTTGAGCGATGATCTCGCAGGTGAACGCAAGTCTGCGGATGATAGGGAAAGCGAATGTGCTCTTCATTGCAAAGAATCAAGCCAACGAATCCAGCCGCAGTCAAGCGGCTTACTGATAGGACATGGTGTCCTCTCATTAAGTGCTACTGCATTCTGGTAATGAGTAGGTTGATATGAAGAACATCGATCTGCATGTCCCACAGAAGAATCTCTCGTGATGTCCCCTCTTCCTTACGTACATTTGTGCATTTATCATCGTCATTTCATTATAGACGAGAGCGTGAGATGCTTAGCCCTCACAAAGTTGTATTGGGAAGTTTAAAATCCTAACTTGAAAAAAAAACTTCTTCGGAAAGTTGAGATCTTTCTCATTTGCTTCGACATTTGATTACTGTAGTGTGTTTTGCAGCTTCTAGCCTCTCTATAAATCAAGCAATCTTTTGACGTATATCCAATAAAGGAGGATATGATCATCTCCAAGAAAAGCATGATAAGCGTCACTTCACTACCCCAAAGCGTGCAGGAATGCAACAAACTGTGGGATGGCCTCCACCAATGATAGTTGGCTTTGTAGGGCAATCTTCTCGCAATGGGTACCACATTTTGCACCAGTCTAATAAGACGCACAGAATGGTCTTAGCTGAGTCTCGTCTTCTTCATTTGCTCTGAAGGGATATCCTGAGAGAAATAGGACCTGTGATGATAGCTGAGGTTTCACATGCACCACTGTTTAAAATCTGCTCTGTTATGAGACCACGGTCTACTTTAAACATCTTCAAGAACTGGCTGACACTGTGCGTAGGATTCGCTTGGAAAGCTGCAATATCTTAGCATTCCACGGGAACACCTATAGTAGCGGGCAAATACATATGTATAAAATTTGTGTTTTTCTCAGTTACAACCCCCGTCATCTTTCCCACATCTTGCCCAAGCCTTTATTCAGTGGATTACACACTTTTAAGTAAAATGAGACACGCATGTTGGACCGAAGATAGGAAAAATCTTTGCTCGAGCTCTCCAAGAGGACACAACTCCGTCCAAATTTCAATTTGTCGTAATAAGCTTACGATATTATAGAACGGAGCAATTTAACGTGTGGCAAAAAAATTGAGCCTTAATAAAACTATGTTGGAGGGTTCCTGATGTGCTAAAAACTCAGCAGGGTCTGAGCTTTGAATTCAGTGAGTTAACCAAATATTCATAATTTCAATTTTCCTGAAAGTACACTTGTTTTGTTCTGAAGTTCCCAGCTTTTTTTGCTTAATTCCTTCGCACCTCCTTCTATCTCTTCTATTCTCTGTTTGACTTTCTTCTATTCTTTGTTTGACAGTGTTTGGATCACGCGACTGAGATGACCACACCATTGAGGGCATACCATGCTATCGAAACGGGTCACTAAAGAATGGTACGATTCACACCTAATTAAGAATACTCCGCGGATAACTGCGAAGTGACCTCATTAAGGGAGACGGCCTAGGGGTCACAACACCACCCAAACATGTGTACTAGACACGTAGAAATGGCAGTCAAATTGGAAAACCATACAACAAAACAACATGAATAAAGAATTTGTATTCAAAGGGAAAATACTGCCAATCTAAAATATAAAAAACAATCTAAAATGACCCGTTATCACCAATCAACTATCACTAACTAGTTATAACTGAAAGCTTAAGCAAGGTATTAGAAACTACAAAACTACACCTGAACACTTTACTGTGAAACTAAGCGAACAGGAGTGGATGGAGTCAAGGAGATCCGCATGCTTTCGATGAACTCACGTCTAGCCAAACGTTACTGTCCTCCCTCAAGCAAGTCAGTTAGAGATATGCCCTTCATGTGCCTCCTCTATGACTTTTCAGGAACTCAGGCTACCCCCATACCACTTCGCAGGACCCCTGGTAAAAAGAAACACCTTGAGGAGGGGTTATGGCAGGTATTTAAGCTAGCATAGATGCTTATATTTTGCAGTTTGAACGATCTCTATCAGAAAGGAGCCGGCTGGCCGTTGTTAGGGGCCCTAGTACCGCGACAAAATTATTTCTTTCATGACATTGCGAATCACCATGATCCGAAATGAGCCCGGTAAGAAATTCTGGAGCTGCGGCAAGATTTCTTACCTCTCTTAGCGTATTCCCCTGGTCGAGCTATAAATGACTGCCACCTATCCTGGACCTTAAATCATCATCTTGATGACGAAATAATTAGACGATCAACTCCAACTCGAAAGTGAGGTCGCCTCCTTTCTCGACCCGCACTCCGCTGGGTTTTGCAAAGGAGCATCAAGACAAGTGTGGGGCATTCATGGTAGATATATGACCGGTCAGGAGTTGTAAACAAAAAAGATAGAATTAAAATAAAAAGTTTGAAAAAGTGTTGCAGGACTTTCTTTCCAACCTGATAGACTATATTATGTTTATGAATTTGTGTAATAAATGAGCATTTTTCAACTATTATTATGAATGATTTGTTTCCTCAATTAATTGCGTTTTACCTGATTAACAGAGAGGTGTGGGTGGTGTTGTGACCCCTAAGCCGTCAGCCTTAATGAGGTCACTTCGCACATAGGGTGCGAAAATTTGGCTCGTACCATTGTTTACCCACCCCTATCGAAACCATTCACACACGGAATTTACACTTCAAAATAGTGATTTGTCACGGGCGTTCTTATGGGATTTTTTGAGCTACCCAACGCCTACCGTATAACTGGGAACCACATACAGGTTACACTCAGTCTGAGTGGTAGCTCGTCAAAGGTTCTATGCAATCAAAAAAATTGTAATTGTGTGAAAATCAGAAAAAAAAACTGACTTGGCTCTGGCTTTGGCTAATTGTTGGCAACGTCCAATATCCAAGGGGTGTATATTGTTAGGGTAATGCCTCAGCGAGGAATCGCGCCTTACGACCGCCTCCCAAACTAACAACTACCCTCATCATGATCAAGGCTCTTGCTACCGTCATTAGAACCTTTTGTACAATTGCTGTTGCGTAATTGCGACTCTGAGCAAACTATATCTTCAACATAATGCAGTATAATTTAAGCGGAAAGAAAGAAAGCCGTGCAAACTTGCTTTTTGAATGACCGTATTCAAGACTTCGGAATTCAAAAAAGTGACAGTTACGCTTCATATGAGATGTGACCCCTATATAGATCAAGAGAACCTCTTCAAATGGCCTTCTAAACTGTGGCAGCTTTCTTGCAACTGAAACAGAATTAAGCATTTAATAGTGTATCTAAAACGAGGGCTTGAAAGGCGCAGTTACGGTCGCTCAGCACCTCATCCAAAACTGAGAACCTGGTTTTCGTGAGTGTCAGTGCAACCCGTGCATTTCCAAGTACTTAATCTCATTTTCGCACTTTGCCTTGGGTTTTTTCTTTGCAGTTTAGCAATCAGTATCAGATGTCAGCAGCGAGAGAAGTGTCGTTTAATAGTCTATTTTTGCACTGCTGCTAGGAGTGTGCATTCAATTCAAGCTGTAACATAGGAGTGACAGGTGAATACTCCTCTAGTCCATGTGCGGGATCACCTTAAAATAAATTCCTGCGGTAAAGGTGGCGGAAGACCCAGGAAATGACGTCAAGGAAGATAAAACGGTGCCCCACCAAAAGTGGAACAATGTGATTGGAATTGATGAATCACTTGTGTGGTGCTTCCCCAACTCATTTCTCACTAAACATCTCAAAAATATTTTTTAAGTGTAAACCTTATCACCGCTTTTCAAGAAGTTGGTGAACCGAATAAGGTAAACATATATTTCGAGAATACCAGGCTACACGCGCTTCCTTGTCATAATCTGTCCAGGCCAGTGGTGTAATCAAAAGGCCCTATGGCTTTCTTCGTGGAACGCTTGCAATAAAATATGCGTTTTGACTGCTATTTCTGTAAAAAAATCGCTCTTGAATTTTTGTGGCTGTCACAGCTTCGCTCCTGATTACCGCCTTTATAAAGTGATGGTAATAGGTTTTTTTTTCTACCATTTTCTTCCATTCACCATCTTCATTTATCAGTAGCATCAATTTCTAGGTGGCCATACCAACCAATCGGAAAATATGGACGCCGGACACGTACTTTTCAACGGGGAACGAATTGAAAACCGGCGATCGACACAGTGCGGTTGTCGAGCCGTCAGGATTCGTTCGCTATTCACAACAGTAAGTGCTAGGGCTCATTATAAAAAGACCCGGCAAGATAGGATATGTCAAAACTTTAATGCGTTGGGCGCGAGCAGTTCTGCAGCCTCCAACAGGTCACTTGGTCCCTACTGTTTTTAGAACTTGAGAATGGCGTGATTATTTGCACCCAAAATCAACCGTTTGTTTAAAACTTACTCACCAGGGGGTAATATTCGGGTTGCTGAGGGGCGAGAGGGTCGAATTTCGGCTTTTGGGGTTCGAGTTCGAGATTTTCACAAGTGGTTTTGGGGATGGATCTTGGTCGTACTGGTGAAGAAGAGAAGAGGTCGTTTACGGGTTTCTTAAAGGAATCTTCCACGGACCATGGACCAGTGGGCGGGACCGGAAGTTTTTGTGACGAAATGCATGGTAGGTACGGATCCACGTGTCGAACGCACGAACGTGAACAGGATTCACTTCAAACCTTCCCATGAACGTGGATCCGTACCTACCATGCATTTCGTCGCAAAACCACTTCCGGTCCCGCCCACTGGTCCATGGTCCGTGGAAGATTCCTTTAACACTTTCGGTAAAACCTTTGGAAACTGTGGAAGATGGACAAAATTAAAGCATTTGAAATTTACTCCCCTTCCCTCACCCCTTCTCCTCCAGGGAGAGAATGTGGGTTGGAGCATGTCGGCTGGTCTCAGATAAATGTCATCAAGACCTTGGAAGGGAGATCGTAAATAAGTTGAAAAACTTTTAGCGGCTTATTCCAGGTCGCGGTTGACCGTCACTCCGGCTCACCAGTGTCCTAGCTAAGATCGTTTTTTACCCACAGTGGCAGTTGTCGATTGTTTTTGGGACTCCCGATTATGTATTCTATTTCTTGCATTACTGTTATAGCTTTCGTGGAAAAATTTGGCCTCCAAAGAAATTATCTGCGAAGCAGCTGCGAAGCAAATAGCCAAAATAAACGAAATATTTTCCAGTGGAGGAAATGAGGGGATTGCTGAGATCATTTGCCCTTCCACCAAACAGAAAAAGTGATTCTAAGGCTCTTTCAGAAATTCAACCACTGACAAAATAGACTGACTATGAGTCATAGAATCGGAGTCAACAATTTTCAAGTAAATTTACGGGTACGCGGTGAACATCTCGGCCTCTTTATTCCTACACTGCAGGATTTGAAGGAGGTGTCAGCTGGCGCATCTTTTTACCGCTTGACGGCGGTTTGTAATGCCGGCACAGCACGCAAGCGTTCAACTCAGAATAAGTGTATGCATGTCTGTTGCACGCTGTAAAACTTTTCGGTTTGCTCAGGGAATCTCCAATAAGGCTCACTTCTCGAAAAACGTGCACGACAAGTCGGGAACTGGCTTCAGATGAACGACGAGCATCAGCCAAAATCAGGCTGTCGAAAATTGTGTTCCAAATTGTTTTGTGATTTCTACGAGCGAGTTTGCATATGACCGACCATGAGAAGCTCTGCAGATAGCTAAACAAACTTCCGGTGGGATATGCAGGAATGGTTGAAAAAAAGGGCCTTTCTCTCATTTTCTCTACATTCAATGGTAAATAATCAAATTTCCTAACATTGTGGATTTTTTCCGCATACAACAACAACATAAACCTTTAGTCACTGATCACGAAGCTCCAGTAGTAATCCGCCAATGGATCGAAATTTCTATTAACTATGGAAACAAGATACGTCACAGGCCTTCTTGAGCGCTTCGTTTTGCGATGTACTGTGTGATGTACTAATGGACAACCTCATGCAAATTGTCTTTTATGCAACCGTATGAGCATAAGACCCCGCGCTTTGATGGTGCCATATGACAGCTTAAGTCTGTCAGCGGCCATTCCGCACCTTCTCAACAGCGCCGCGTTTTGCCTGGATACTGAGAACATAGGGTGGCTGATTTATGGTTTCTTTTGATAGAGAAAAAACAACCCCAAATAGGAAGTAAGTAAGAATAAGTGTCGTGGTTTGAGAAAGTTACCAGACCCGTCTTGTGATATTCTTTGCTCAGGTTGACCTTCGGAATATCATGATGAGGTCTCATAAACAATAAGGCGCTGAAAAAAGTTTTCAGACAGTAAGACGTCTCAACCAAGAAAGACAGCGTGCCAATTAGCTGGCTAGTTTTTAGATTGGACAAATTGAACGCTACGGTGCGCGCTTCGTTTGAGGCCGCAGGATATTTCTGGGATTTTTTATCAATCAAATAAGAAGTGGCCCAGAAATATGGACCGACCTAATATCAGTAAGTATCGGGATTTGTATACTAAGCGCATAAAGTTCCATTGACCAACCCTTCTACAGCTCTTCCGAAATTCGTTCTACGGGCACTGTCCCTGCACAGTTTTCATCTCCAAAATTTTGCACCTTTCCCCAACTCCCCCTCTTCCTTTAATCGCGATGTGGATCGAAGCTGTAATCGGTGAATGTTCAGGCGAGTTATCGACGTGCCAGTGAGCTATGGAAGCACATTTCCATTTCTGAATCGCCGATCCTTCACCCTTCGACTGTCAAGCTGTAAGTGCTCTTGAAACGAGTACTCTTAGTTTATTCGATGTTCGTTTGTTCATTCAGATAACTATCCCCTAGAGGATGTGGTTTATCTATGGGCCAATTCCCCTCCACTCGTGAATCCTGTCGAGGTATTTTTATTGGTTTCATGTCTAGATATTTCAGTTTGCAAATACTCAATATTGGTAACAAAATGTAATATACGGGAATCCAAATCCTTTGAATTATGGAGCGATTCATCTTCTTGTTTTTTCTTCATTTTCAGCTTTTTACCATGACTGAGTAGCCTCGAGGAACGTCATAATAGCGAGCCATAATTCTCATGTTTGATGATTTTTAAGGTATCAAATGATTTGCTCAGCGGGCCCGTCACTTTTGAGGAAGCAAGTGCTGGCGACTGCGTAGGAAACTTCACCGTCGGTGAGTATAAAAGAAATGGGAATTCGCAGATTTCCCTTTTTGGATTGGAATTCAAGATATCAAATTTGTTTTGGTTGTTTTGGCTGGATTCCTTCCGTAAAATGAAGTGAGCAAATGCATGGAATTTGAAAGGACAGTTGCTCATAGAAATATGCGGTAAAACCTGAAAATGTGTGGTCCCTCCAAGAAACTGGCCATGAGCATCATACCTTTTGAACTATTGTATACATATTTATCGCTTGGAAAATTTCAACGAGAACTGTGCTTGAATGTATTCTGAGTGGAGCAATTTTTTGCGAATATCAGCAGCCTCGGAAATCACATTGTGATGCAGTGGGAAGAGGAGCTATGTTCACACCTACATACATTAGTATTAAAGTACTGGGTTGCTCGGAGGGTTTGATTTCGGCTCTCAAATTAAAAAGCGCATATCTCGGTTCAAACAAAGCATGCTTGCTCCAAATAAAAATTATAACAATCCCCACTCCTTTACTACAAGAAATGAATTTTATTCATCCGGATGTTGAAAGTGCTAGAGTTCTCTGAGCTACTGAAGGTCGTTTGCCACCATATTATTCTCTAAGTAGACCTTCCAGATGGTTGGAAAGTGATAGTTCTTAGCAATAGAGTGTAAAATGTTTGCAGCACAATTTCGTAGCTCAGCTACCAACTTGGGAGTTCAGAATGGGGTTATGCAACAGTGGGTAGAAGAGTCGGCGGCTATGTTTAGAAATCTTGTGTCGATTACGCCCAATTCAGAAGCAGCTTGTTCAACAGTTTCATGCAGATTTGGTTTGGTCAAAACCCTCAGCTGATCTTTATCAGTCTCCGATATCACTAATCTCCTTCAAAGCTTTCAACATCGCGAGAAAGACATTTTGAATTACGACTGCACAGCGTATTTTTTGTGGACTCAGAACCAAATGCTCAGTTGATATCGCAACTTGCTTCCGCACATTTCCGAGCAAGTTTGAGGGAAACAAGAAACTAGTGCAAAGCAGGCTGTTGAGTATGTTGTATTCAAGACTTCAAAAAAGTGGAAAGTGATTCAGTGCTAAAGACAGTAGATTTGAATAGAGCGAGGAAAGTGCTTTCTAACGAAATATAAGCGTAAGCAGTGTTCTGAAAATGACCCACAAATAAAGCATCCGAAAGTGAGCTTTAAAACGGCGGAAACATCCCGAACAGCCCAATATTTGTGGTCTGTTATGGCTATCACGGCTAAGTTCGTTCAGGAACGTTTTCATGTATCGATGTTGTCGTGACATTCAGTTCTTCAACGATGAGTTCTCTCTTCACTTGGTTCCTGCCTACTGTATTCTTGGTATGAAACCTTGTAGAGCATTTTCTGAAGCATTTTTTCTTCGATTCGAGCTGCTTTTAGGTGATTGCCTCCTGGTTGCATTTCTGGATTCATGGCAGCTGGTCGGTTCCGAGAACAATCTCAGCCGCAGTCCCCTTCTTCATATTTGCTGTCATATTCGTGAGTCGCTATGATTTGTGCGCAAGAAGTAATACTCCACCTGTTTTGATTTCTTCTCGAAAGCCTCCGAAATGCAACAGGAAGTTCATGGAGCTACTCAAAGAAGCTCCAGTCAAAAATGTTTCGCGTTGTCGAGAATGTAGTTATTATGTTTTTGAGAACACAGGAATGAGTGAAGCGTAAATTGTTGAGGACGAGAAAGCTGTTTATTTCGAATTGCGCACTTAGAAAACAGTTTTTGTAGATTCGATTCATTCCAGAAAGGGGCTCGGAGTAGTTGGGAGCGTTCCGACTTTAGCAAGATACTCGATGTATTTGGGAATGAGTTTTTCTGGTAATTGGGCAGAGCTCTTGAGTCAGAAAATTTTACCCACCATAAAGCGCTTCATCTGTCGTTCTGTCGGTCTGTCACGGAATACCCTACTTCCTGAAGATCCGCCTGTAGAGATCGGGTCAGGAGTGGATGGATGGGTCACGTCTCGAGAAGTACAAAACACACATCAGCTGAGCGGAGCCCCGCCCACAGTGGGGGTGGGGTGCATCGAAATGAGCGCCGCCGACAACGAAAAGTCCAAATTTGATTCCAAAATAATTCCAAGAGCGGACCAGCGGTAATGCGGCCAATTGATATGC